CAGGTTTAAATTCGACTTCAACCAAAGCCGGAGCTCCGGACCTCGTATCGACGAGCCCTATGTTTGGAACTCAGAACAAAATCGAACCCCCTTCTCCATCTCAAAGCCGAAACTAAGAAATCCCTAGCTCAAAAGAACGCAAACTCCACCTCGAACACCGAAACTTCACCACGAAGCAGTTCGATCCATATTCTAAAAACTAAAGAAAAGTCGAGCTAAAAAACTTAGCCATTTTTCTCAGAATAAACAGATCGCCCTTCGCGACCTAATTGTTTTATCTAGGCCCGATAAATCGAGCATCAAACTCATGACTAGCGACCTACGCCTCGAGCTTAACAATCCTAGTCCGCTTCCCTAAGTTATTAAACGACTTAGCAAATATCCTACTTGAACAAAAAATGCAAGAGACAAAAGATAAACAAAATCTAAGGCATAAAGCCCGATTGCATTAAACAAAAGCCCTTTCAGGCACGGATGAGTTCAAAAAATAAAAGGATTAAAGCCCTCCCGGGCACCAAAACAAGCGTAAAAGCCCCGCCGGGCAACCAAGTTCAAAAATAAAATTTAAAAAGAGGAAGGGAAAGAGAAAGGAGCCACGGTCAGCCGTCAAGCTAACCACCTGCCTTCTCGTCGTCATCTTCCCTCCTCGCTTCATTACTTCCTCCTTCCTCCACGTTTGTACCAAACTGATTAAGGCCAGCAGGCGCGCCTGAAACCGGGTCGACGTCCATAGCCACCGAGTCCTCAGAGATCACGGGGAGATTGAGCTTGCTGATCGAGAAGTCTGAAACCTGGGCAGCCTTAAAAGTCGCTCCCAAGTCCTCCTCTTCTTTGGTCACCCTCTCCAGCTCCTCTTCGACAGTTGTGGCCTTTGCCTTGAGCTATTCGAGCATCTCCTTGTTAGCAATGCCCTCCTGGAGATCGCACTTGGCCACGCCCTCGGCCTTCTTTCTCTCCCACTTTAGCTTGAAGCCCTCGATCACCTCCATGAACTTCCGAGACATATCCTTCCGGATCTCACAGCCTGCTTTGCGGACATCACTCTCGCGCTCGCGGACCAGACAGAGATTCTCCTCCTGATAGACCGCGGCCTCGCGTTGAGCCCACACCGCTTCAGCCTGAGCCTCGAAGATCTGGTTGGTGGCAACCTTGAACTTCTCACCCCTGTCAGCCAGCTCGATCTCGAGGTCGGCAATGTGAGCTTGTTGGCCCTTGTACTGCATGAGGAGTCTAGTCTGGCGAGCGACCTGCGCGTTCGCGGCCTCTAGGTCGGACTTCAGCTTGCCGACTACCTCCTTCATTTCCTTGATCTCATTCGGATGTTGAACGTCTCGCAGCCTTTGCTCAAGACGAGCATATAGCCGGTTCCCAGCCTCCGCAGGCTGCGAGCATCGAGAACCAATGCATTAAGATAAACAACACTTAACCAATTTTACACAAGTCAAAAGGTATTCCCGTACCTTCCCCTAGGCCACCGCCATCTCCACGTAGAGCTCCCTCTCAGTCCTTTTCTTGAGAGCTGGAAGTTGGCACCCAGCGGGCTTGAAATGACGCCACATGGCCGCCATGCCCTCGGAGTCATCCGTGATCGGATGACCTTGGTGTGCTCAAATTTCCAGTGGAAATGCCGACTACCCGTCAAACCACCACTCCCGTTAGACGCCGACAGGCGCGGCTCAGCATCACGACTTCCCCCGTTGTCTCTCGGCCTCTTGGAGGCAGGCTGGGAAGCGTGCTCGGGCTCCTGGTCATCAGCGAGCTGCACGGTCTGGCCGGAGCACACGGAAATCGCCCCCACTAATCTAGGGGGAGGATCGGGCTGAGGGTTCATCGTCTGCTCGACCTCCTCGTCGTGGAGGAGAGGTGCAAAGGCAGATGTTGTGGCCAGCACGGCCTCAAGGGCCTCCTTGACGCTCCCGAAATGTACCCTGGAGCTGCTGGGATCAGCCAGGGCTTTCCCGGCTCTTTGACGGAAGGTTGGCTTGCGAGACATCGCGGAACTCGAGCTTACTGAACTGGATGAAGGCGGAACCTAACAGAGAGGAAGAACTCCAGCTGCCAGCAAAACAAGCCAAAGCATGTCATTCAGCGAGCAAAAATCGGTACGCTAAAAACATTAGAAAATGAGAAACGTACCGGGTGCGACAATCGGAATCAGGGCTGGTGATGAGAGAACTCGTCGAACTCGTTTTTGCGTGAACGTGCTCCAGACAACCTCTCCTCGCCTGAACAACTCTAGCCGGTGCTTGATATTGGGATCCTTGGGTGCTCTAGATAGCTGACCTGATAGACAAAAATAAGCAAAGGGTCAGAAAAATCACTCAAGCAAACCAAAACAAACAATAGCTAGCGTACATCCAAGCCTAGCTAAACAACCGTTGTCCGCGAACTCGATTAGCAGTCGGGAAAAGTCGAAGTCCCCAACGGACGCCTCGTTAATCCGGAACTTAAACCCGGTTTTCTCCCAACCAGAGTCCTTCTCCGGACTCTCCTCAATGAACCGCCGGTTCGACCTCGGGGACGCGTAGAAAGTCCCGGGATGGCGGGCGTTGTACTTGACGGAGAAGAACGCTCTCAAGTCCGAGTAACGGAAGATGACGTTCTCCTCTTTGGCCCGCACGGCACATCCAATGATGGCCCGAACTAAGTTCGGACACATCTGCGGGAAAGCCAGCCGCAAGTTCGCCAACACCTCGAGGACGAACCGAGGGATTGGGAAAAACAACCCGCAATCCCGGAAATACGTTGTGTATACGCAACAAAAACCCGGCTCCACGTTCGATGGAGTCTCCGCCGGCGTCAGGACGGCCAATTCTACCCTGTCGGGGATTTCGCATTCTCGACGGAAGTCGTCGAGAGCTTTCTGGTCGATCATGGAAGGATCTACTGCGGTCCTCCCAGATTTTTCTCCCTCAACTTTCACTATAGCCGACATCGGAAAAGAAAAGAAGAAGAAGGTGGCAAACGCTAAACCCAGAAACTAAAAAGATGAAAGTCGAAGCTTTTCTAGAGGAAAACTCGGCAAACGGTTTCTGAAAACTACTGAAAAAGGAAGTTGCAGAAAATAAAAGGAAAGAGAGAGGGGAGGTTACCTTTAATCGACGAACTGATACGGTTAAAGAAGGAGTAGAGAAGGTAAAATTTATATCGAGGTAATTATTATCAACCTCGAAGATCGCAGAGAATCTGGCCACGCACCAATCTCAACCGTTCGATCCTCCTATCCTAACCGTCGAATATTCGACTTCGACGATTTGACTCGCTGTACAGCTTGATCGATCGAGGCCGTTAGATCGACTTTCTCTCTCCCCATCTGAACCGTCCACTTCATCAAGCTTCAGTGCGAATCTTCTCGAGGGATGCACCTTGCCCCGGGAAGCTCGACCGCCGAAACAGAAAAGTAAATGATAATATTTACTTTGAATCTTGATCGTCCACCTGGATGAGATAATAACAGATTTATCTCGACACGCCAAGTTACGTTCTCGAGATCGATTCTCGACCGCATAATCGATAAACTGTTCACCTTTCCAAGATCTGAGCCTTCGATCTCGAATGATTATCTGACTCCATGACGTTAGCATAATCAAACACCAAATCTTTCAAAAGTCCCATCTTGCCGCCCATTAAAGCTCGAGCTCGCTCTCGTTAATGGGCTGGGGGGCAATTGTTGGAGCTGGATTTGACACCCCAAATCCAGCCCACTCTAGCCCAACGGGCAGGTCCAAACTAAGCCAAAGTGGCTGGGCTTCAACCATGCGGCCCAGGCCCATTCACCTTTCGACGATCCAATCCTGAGCAACAAGATGATCCGATCGGCGAGGTCGAGCTCAAGCTCGACAAAATCCCGAGATACGAGGAAGAATCCGAGCCAAGTCAGAGAATATTCCCACCAGTTCAAACGATTCCAAAGATCGCGGAGGAAGTTGCTGCACTTGGCGAGATATCCGGCTGAGGCTGCTGCGCATGGCCGAGATACGCGCTGGAGCTCAAAGCTCAACGAGGCAAGCTATATACGCGCTGGAGCTCAAAGCTCATGGCTTAGTTTGAGGGACCTTCGGCTTGATCTTTTTACACACTTTTTACACCCTAAAACACTGTAACTGCTCCCAGAGCTCTTTTCAGTTCATCTTTTTTTATTGAGATCTTTGTAACCGTTTCATTAGACCGATTAATACAAAATCCTTATTTCAGTTAGTACTAGCTTATATTGTCAATCTGTTCGAGGGAATCTAGCCCTTAATCCCCTAAAGCACTTTTCTAACAAATACACATAAATTTCTGAGTATGGATTTTGCTATCCACAATTAGATAGGAATAAAATATATTTAGAAATATATGAATTTTTTTTTTGTTTCTCCCCAAATTTGATAAGAAATACTTTTATTTTATAATTTCATAAATAATAAACAATAAAAAGAAATGAGAAGAAATAAATATTATTAATAAATATAAAAACTTAAAAAAATGAAGAGAAATTTCCTTTCATTATTTCTCTTCATTCTCCTAGTCACTAAATAGACCCTATATCATTTAGTTTTGCACCATGGCTTTTATGTTGCCATGAGATGGTTTTGAGAGATAACCTTAAGAAGAATAATTTATTGAAATGAAGAATTAGGATCAATGGTGCGGAATAAAATTGGATTTGTTTTAAAAAAAAATCTCTATTGATTGGAAAGAAATTCATTTTCTCATGTGTTTCTACTTTTTATTTAAACTATATATATATATATATATTATTTTGATATAACTAGTTTATTTGTGGAAAATTAACAAATTTTAACAGTTAAAAGAAAATAAAATAATACCTATAGATATGGTATTCTTGATGTATGTCCTTTAATTTTCTTCAAACAAAACCGAAATTTTATTCTAGTATTTTCATGCATGTTAACAGTAATTGTTTTTTTTTTGTAAAAAATATCCAATTGAGTCATTTTGAACAAATACACAATAATTTTCAATTTCACCCAAACCATATAATATATTCAAGGCAACTCCATAAGTCTGAAGATATGAAAGAGCACCCGTTTAGAAACAAATCAAAATTCAAAGCTGAAGATAAAGGTATCTTTTACTAGCCATTATTTTTTATTTTAATGTTGGTCAACAATGTATTCATAAACCAATATGATATGCCCTCTTGTTAGTGTCTATAAATCATATTTTTGTTGTACATTTTTGAGCTATCAACATCATCAACAAACAAATGGATTCTAAAGCTATTTTTCTCATATTCATCTCACTATTTCTTATATGTAAGTCTATATCATCTTTCAAATCATCTAATTATAAAATATATCCAATAAATAAATAAATGTTTTGTATCATTATCAAAATCAATGTCTCAATATTAGGTATGGTATTAGAGAGCATATCTAAAGCCGAAGCACAAGTAAAGTATCATAGCTGCTCGACGGTAAATGATTGCCAAGATATTCATTGTTTGATTGCAGCAGTCAAATGTGTAGACTTGCTATGTCAGTGTCCACCGATATCACAACTCTCATGCAGAAAGAGCTTTAGCCTAAAACCAGCAGAAACACCATTACCGTGCAAGACAGCAAGTGATTGTGAAGATAAGCTCACTTGTGTTTTGGAAAAGTTTGTCTGTAAAAATTCTCAATGTCAATGCTTGGTTGAATAGAGAATTTAGAAAATTGAAAATTGTATGTTTTTTCTTTGTGTGATGATAAAAAAAGAAAAACGAATTCTATATAGATCAGACTTCTTCTCCTTATTGGATACATATGTGCATAGAGAAACTTTCAAGTTGTTTTTATTTCTTCATTCTAACCAAACAACATGAGCTTGCATATGAGACATCAAAAAGATATTGTTAAATGGTATTAAAAATAATTATGGTATCAACTTGAGGAAACACAATGATTTTAATATTTCACCCACAACGTATTGCTTGTAAATTTACTAATTTAATTTCGAAATGAAAGAGCTAAAGGAATGAAATCTCATATGAATGGCAAAGAAATTTATAATTTTTTTTTTAAGTTTAGAAAATTGGCAAGGAAAGAAACTGGAGAATTGGAAATTTTAGAAAAACAAAACAACAAGGCATGGAAACATTTAGAATTTTTAAATTTTAAAAATATATTTAACTGTGAATGTATTTTATGACTTTTCTATTTATAATATCCAACATAGCATAACATGTTTGTTCAATCTATCTATCTATTCTCAATCTATCTATCTATTCTAGTAAAACAAGATTTTTTTTTAGAATCAGCTTTGATATGCTGTTACATGTCATTCTAAAAACTAACATGTGTCATTTTGTTTTACTATTTCTATTGATTTCTCTTTTAACAAACAAACATATATATTTTTTTAATTTTTTTTTCCTCTTACAAACTATTCTTTTTCATCCAATAAACACAAAAAAAATCTAATCATCCAAACAAATATTATATAATATATTAAGATCATGTGTCACTTTTATCTTTTTTTTTTCTTATCTCTATTGGATTCTCTTTTATCGAACAAACACAAAAATAAAACTTCAGTTTTTTATTCTTCTCAAAACAATTTTCTATCATACAACAAATAGAAACGAAAATCAAATCGCCTGACAAAGTATAAATCTTATTTAAAATAGTAACGTCAAGTGTCACATTTTTTCTCTTTTTTATTTTCCAATTTCTTATGGATTCTCTCTCATCGAACAAATACAAAAATAACATTTTTTCAATTCATTATTAGATTTTCTTTCATTATGTCTTCTACTTCATATTATTTAAGAAGATTTTTTTACCTTTTAAGAGTTAATTGTGTCATTGTTTCTGCACAAAAATAGATTATTTTCTTCATGATTCTTTTGTGGCCAACAGAACAGAAAATCATGCATTATTTTCTTTCATGAAATCCTTTTAGATTAATGGCTCGCTACTTTCTTTCCTACTCCATAGAACCTCAAATATCCACCACTATCACAATATGAATTCTACTCTTTGGGACCTACTTTTCAATTCTGTGTGATTTCATGAAACACTGGCAGCTTAACACTTCTGATAGGGTCAAACCTCATTCTCTATAGAAATTATTATTTTTCCAACCTTTTAATACAAAATTTTAAAAAATTAGATAATATTCACAAATTATAAACTAATATTTATCAACATATATTTACTAATAAATACAATGAAATAAATTATAAAATTAAAATAGTCAGAATATCAAAGCACAGACCTTCTCCTACCAATATGCCATTCTAGAAACAGACATGAATCGTTTTTTTTTTACTATTTTTACTAATTTTTCTTCCATCAATCAAATCTAAAAACAAATTTTCATTCTTATTGTCCTTCTATAAACGATTATGGTTCATCCAATGAACACAAACGAAAATCAAATCACTCAAATAAATATTATATAATATAGTAATATGTCAAAAACTATTTTCTTTCTCTATTGGATTCTCTTTTATAGAACAAACACAAAACAACAAAAAAAACATTTTATTCATTCTCCACACGGTTTTTTTCATACAATAAACAGAAATAAAAATCAAATCTCCAAACAAAGTAAAAATCTTATATAAAATAGTAACGACAGGTGTCATATTTTTTTTTATTTTTTTTCATAATTCTTGTGGACTCTCTCTCATCAAAAAAATACAAAAAACAGCATTTTTTTTTCTCCACTAGAGACTCTTTCATTATGTCTTCTACTTCAAATTCTTTAAGTAGATTTTTTTTTAACATTTAAGAGCTTACTAGATCATTGTTTCTATGCAAAAAAAAAGATTATTTTTTTAACATATCTTTTGTGGCCAACCGAACAGAAAATCATGTACTATTTTCTTTCATAAAATCCTTTTAGATTAATGGCTCACTACTTTCTTCCATACTCCATAGAACGTGAAACATCCACCACTATTACAATTTGAATTCTACTCTCTCGAACCTACTTTCCGATCTTTTCTGTGTGCTTTCATGGAACAGTGGCAGCTTAACTCTTCTAATATGGTTTCATTCCTTTTCTCCTTCTGCAAACGATTTTGTTTCATCTTACCAACACATACGAAAATCAAATCATCGAAATAAATATTATATAATATAGTAAGATGTCAATTTTTTTTTCTATCTCTACTGGATTCTCTTTTATAGAACAAACACAAAACAACGGAAAACAAAGTTGTTTTTTCATTCTCCACACGGTTTTCTTTCATACAATAAACATAAACAAAAATCAAATCACCCAACAAAGTAAAAATCTTATATAGAATAGTAACGCCAGGTGTCACATTTTTCTCTTTTTTGTTTTCATAATTATCCTCGATACTCTTTCATCAAACAAATACAAAAACAACATTTTTTTTTCCGTCTCCACTAGATTCTGTTTCATTATGTATTCTACTTTATATTATTTAAGATTTTTTTTTATTTTTAAGAGCTTACTAGATCCTTGTTTCTACGCGAAAAATAGATTATTTTCTTCATGTTTCTTTTGTGGCCAATTGAATAGAAAATTATGCACTATTTGCCTTAATGAAATCTTTCAAGATTAATGGCTCACTACTACTCTCCCTACTCCATAGAACCTCAAACCGCCACCAGTATCACAATTTGAATTCTACTCTCCAGGATATCCTTTTCAATCATCCCCCAGTGTTTTCATAGAACGATGGCAGCTTAACTCCTCTAATATGGTCAAACCTCATTCCCTATAAATATTATTATTTCTCCAACTTTTTAATACAAAATTTAAAAATTTTACATAATATTCACAACGTATGAGCTAATATTTACCATTAAACATTTACTAACAAATATAACAGAATAAATTATTTAAAATAGTCAAAATATCATAATTCTGTGCAACGCGTGGAGCTTCTACTAGTTATTTATATAGCAATATAATGTTTGTTATTTTTGTTTTATTTAATTTTAGTATACAAAATCTTTCAGAAAATAAATCTTATATGGATGGCTAGTTAAGTAAAGTTCCATGAAAAGTTATCTGGGTTACCTGATAAGCAATGAAGAAACGAGAGGAACATTTCAAAGATGACATCAAATGTTCCAACAATTAACATATATATAATCCACTAAAAACTCAAAAAACAAAATTCAGAATTAAATCAATTTTCTCCATCTAATCGGAATAAACAAAATGGCATTAAGATCAACATACGTTCTCATCCTATCCTTTATGTTATCTTGTGAGTTCTTGTCACTAGCTATTTCTCTATATTAAAACTAAATAAACTCCAAAGAATGTTTAAATGTGGTGACTTAATCATTTCTTTTGTAGGCATAATCATGTTGCGTGTAACCAATGTAGCAAGAGCTTTGCCAATATGTGTATCGAAAGATGAATGCAAATCCGGTATATGGTGTGGTGATGGAAGTGGAGGAACGTGTTTTTATTTTTCTTGTCAAATAGATATGGATTGTAGGAAACTTGTTCGTTGCAATACACCAGTGCCTTATTGTATGAAGGGAATATGTAGTTGCTAAAGAAAAATGCATGGTTTTATATGTAACTGCTAATGCAGTAATGAAATAAATAGTGTTTGGACAATTCTGTTTTCTGGATCTGTTGTCGATTTATACACACATGAATCATATCCAAAATTTTGTTGCGAGAAATGTTTGTATTTGTAAACACTTGAGTTTATGGCCAAGTTAAGTTGATACAACAGGCCTACCACTATGCCAGTCACAATCGATGTCTCCATTCGTGTGTACCTAATAAGGTTTAAACTATTATTTATGCTGTTAAATGTTTTTTTTTAAAAGCTTTAGCTACTATGTTGACCAAAAATATATTTACTTTATGATTTCCCAAAAATATAAGTAAAACAGTCACATATTAATAAGTAAAATATTACATTTTATTATATATTTTGTTTATTTTATAAAAAAAAATTATCCGGCTATGTCATTGCATTGATGATAACAAACACATATAATATTAGTTAAAAAATACGAGAAGAATAAATCAAAAGAAAAAAGAGAAAAAGTGATCTTTAAGGGAAAATTAAGAAGAAGAGGAGAGATGACTCAAAAATTGGTTAAAAATTATTCCATAATCGAGAGAAGAGAAGTCAAATATTGTTTCTCCTTCTTCACTTTTTTTTTATCTTATTTTGATATAACTAATACGTTTATGAAAAATTAATTAACAAACCCCATATTTTTTAAACTAATATTTCTATAATATTTTAGATACTCTTGATGTGTCTGTTGATGCAAGAGTTTTCACTATTTATTAAAGTTTTATTCTTTTTCTCCTTCTGCAAACGATTCTGTTTCATCCAGTCAACACAAAAAAATCAAATCAACCGAAGAAATATTATATAATATATTAAGATGTCAATTTTTTTTCTTTCTCTATTGGATTCTCTTTTATAGAACAAACACAAAACAACGGAAAAACAAAGCTTTTTTTTATTTTCTACATGCTTTAATACAATAAAAAGAAACAAAAGTTTAAAATCTTATATAAAATAGTAAAAACAAGTGTCACATTTTTTTTTTGTTTTCATAATTCTCGTGGATTCTCTCTCATCAAACAAATACAAAAGCAACATTTTATTTTTTTTCCTCTCCACTAGAATCTTTTTCGTTATGTCTTCTACTTCAAATTATTTAAGAAGATTTTTTTTTAAAAAACTTTTAAGAGCTTACTAGATCATTGTTTCTACGCAGAAAGTAGATTATTTTCTTCATGCTTCATAGATTATTTTCTTCATGATTCTTTTGTGGCTAATTGGATAGAAATTCATGTACTATTTTCTTTCATGAAATTTTTTTAGATTAATGGCTCACTACTTTCTTCCCTACTCCATAAAACCTCAAACATCTGAAACAAGATGTTTTTCGGTCCTGAACCAAATATCATTAGCTTTTAATCAGTTGTAGAATATGGATCAGGTATCAATTCATTTGTGGAAGATGAGATGCAAACAAAGCCATAAGTTAAGCAATGATGGGGTTATTATTGAACTAGGACAAGTCTAACAACCTAACAATGCAATGGAAAGAAAACAGAAATTAATACAAGTGAATAGAACTAAGCAATGATCTTAAAGCAATGACTAAATAGGAACTAAGCAATACTAATAACTAAAGCAAGAACTAAGCAAGATGATCTTAAAGACAATTGATTAAAAGCAAGACTCAAGGTTCTAAGCAATTGTGCGATAGTGGTTTTCATGAGTGAAAATTGGGGATTTCTAACAAAGGGCATTCATAAGCAAGCAATTCTCAATGTTGTACTCCTAGACAAGGTATCTAAAAAGAACAAACTTGGCGTCAATACGCATTCATATTCAACAAGATTGAAGTGTCAAACCCACTTATGATGGTGTATTTTTTAATCATGAGTATAAAGATCAGAACCATTCTAGCCTAAGAGATGTACTAATCAAGCAATCATTCTCTCACCCAAGCAAGAATTCAGATAAAATTATTTATATATCATGGTTTTTATGGTTTTTAACCATGATATAAGTTCTTTTTATTGAGTCTTTTTAGTCTTTTTAGAGTCCTAGAAGAGTCTTTGCAGATTATAGCATGTCTGGAGCATAATTGGAGATATTAGAACCTTTTGGAGCATTCTGAGTTGAAGCCACGAAGTACCAAGCTCGAAGCAGAAAGTATGCCATAAGGTGACGCTCGTCACCCATCAAGGAAGGATTGTGGCCTGATTTATTAAAAGTATGAAGACTATTTGCAGAAATGGCCCAGAAGTTCCATTATTTACAAAAAAATCCAAGATCGTGTTTAGCCTCTATTTAATAGGTTTTTCAGCCATTGTTGGCTATTATCTTAGTGTTTGAGAATTCAGAGAGCTTAGAGAGAGATTTATTCAGAGCTTTTTAGGGAGACAAATCATGTACTCTTTTGAGAACATTTCGAACCCCTCTATTCTTTTACTCTTTCTCTTAATGCAATTTTATTCAGTTATGTTTTGTGATTCCATGATAATGTCTGAGTAATCTGCTAGTTAAGTTAGGGCTTTTTCAAGGGTTGATGATGATATTGTAGAATCGCTATATGTTAGGAATATCTTTTGGTTTTTCATCTCTGCTTGCTTTAAATTCGAATTTCTGAGACACATCATCTAGAAATCCAAAAATCCTAGGTTGTTAAATATTTTATGAGAGCATTATTGATAACCTGAACTAGTATTTGATGAGCAAAACAACTTAGTGCAAAAAGATTTGGCTTAGGAGTTTTGTAACCAATTGAATCTGATCATTCATGCATGTTTAGGTTGTTAGGGTTTGCAAAGCGATTTGAAACTCTGTGATTTAGGCATAGAAAACTTCTGCAATGAGAATTGATTAGTTATACATCAGTGATTCATGTTTAAAACGGTTCTTAATCATTTCTGATTTCATGCATTCTACATTCTTGGATTCAACCTGCGAACTGTCCTGACTTAGCACTTTTAGTCTTCTGAAACTTAGATCATCTTACAAAAATTGTTTGCTTACTTTTAATTTTTTATTCGCATTACATACATTATATTATGCTTAGCTTAATTCGAACCTACATTCGATAGTGTAGTCTGCATTACTCTCTTGGGATTCGATACCACTTGTACTACAACTGTTTTTGCTGTGCACTTGTAGTAGTTTTATTTGGATAAAACTCAACTCCCTTAGACTTAGCTTTTGCTTGCCCACAAGCAAACATCACACTAAGAACAGGGTCGAGGTTTGCCCAATTGTCAAGTTAGATGTTAATTAACGAAGTGTTGTCATGTGGACTCTAAAGTTAGACTTTTTGAGCACTCCAACACACAATTAAAAATTTAACTACACACCCTAAACTTTGATTTTTTAAAAATATGTAGATTACCTAAGATGGATTGATGTTGAAGCAAGAAGAATGGTCTTATTTTCCATGGAAATCTTAGATTAGTTATATGTAATTTTCTGATGTTATACTGATTGAATATATAAAAAAAAAATTCAAAACCAGAAAATTTATGGATATAAATCTGCCTGAATTTGTTTTTTAAAACATATTGCTTCAGTTATTTCTTAAGAGAATTTACATAAATATTGATTGAGAACTAAAACATAAATCACGGGTGTTCACATGTATCTTATTAGAAGTACTCTTCATACAATATTTGAAATCGCATACCTTAGTTTTATATATTACCATCTTTAATTATATATAGATGATCCCAAATGGCTTTCGTGTTTTTTTCTTCTCGAGTGATTAACATTAAGACACCAGATTCTGTAGAAGCTTTTCGAATCAAAATCGTGAAGAATTACCGATTTTTGAAGCAAAGCACAAGCTAAAGACTGAAAGACAATCTTAATCGTAAAATTTAGAATTTGAAAGCATCTAATTTGAGACAAAAAAGGATTATGTTTGCATGTGTTGCTATTAAATTAATAAAAAAAATCATTTATCGACTGTGCTAAAATGTTGACACAATTTTTTGGTCTGGACTTCAAAATAAAACACTGGTCCAAAATGATACTAATAAGTTTGAAACAAAGTTTTAAAATAGATCAAACAAAATTTAAACAAAACTTTTAAATACAAAATTTTGGCTAAAAGTAGTTTAAAAATTATTGTAATTTTTTAAGGAAAAGAAATGAAGTTAATTTTTATAATAACTAATAAAATGTGTCAAAAATGCATACACATTTTATTTTCAGTTAGGCCAATATATAGAATTCGGACATAATAACAAATTAACTAAAACATCTGGCCCAATCTCTCTCATTTCTACTATGTAAATACATAATATGAGGGCCAAAAATATTTTTAAATCATTAAATCTACGCTAAGCATGGATCCAAAATCTTGGGGGGCGTATTGGATTAGGAATTTCAGAAGATTTGGTGGCTGTTTTAAAAACCTCTGTTATTGAATTAATGATTTATATATTTCATACCAAAATTGATGTTATTGAACATGAAATCTATGTAAAACTAACTAAAATCATTTAAAAATCCATGTTATTCAATCAATAATTTATAAATACTAAACAAAATCCACTGTTATTGAAAATATTTTAAATAGTAGACTTTTAAAAAATTTGAGTACTTTTAAATGATTTGGTAGAGTTTGTTAGTTAAAAATATTAAAAACAAAATTTCATTGTTTTAGGTGGGATTTTAGATAATTTTAATATCAAATCATATCAACTTTTCCAATCCACATAAAATCATCTAAACTTAAATTATAACTTAAATCTCTTCAAATTTTCTAAAATTTTAGTTTCATTGTTTTAGAAGGTAAGCAATCTCTTCAGATTATAATTGTTTTTTTTTCACAGCTTTCTTTCTCCCAAATTATTATTGATTGATAATAACTATTTATAGTCAGTTTCAAATATCACTATGTAATCGTTGTTTCACAAAAAAAATAATTGTTGATGAGGCAAAACAATATGTAATGTAGGGTGAAGTGACTAATCCGAGGGTAATGGATTATCCGGAACTGGACCCAAACCCAAGACATGTTCCGAAAATACCCGGTTATCATATACCATCCCCACATAAGAGATGATAGAAAATGAGCAAAATATGTAATATGAAATACATTTGAACATGGATCATTCAATATAAAAAAATATAATAATGTCGATGAAGAAAATAATACTGTAAATTTATTTCTATTAATAAAAAATATTACTTTTAGAGAAAAAAATAATAAAATTATTGTATGTCGCATATGTTCCATTGGCTTCTTCTATCCGCCCCTAGCTACAACCAACACAAATACTGCCCAACCAGTACATATATATCTTACATTTATAATAAAATATTTATAACTACAGCCAATACATCTACAGCTGCAACCAATACATTTACAGCAAAACATTAATTTACAAAAACAAACTTTTACAAAAAGATATCCATTGAATTGTAATAAATAACCATAATAAGGTTAACAAAAAAAGAACTAAATGATACATATTACATACATGCGTAGTTATCTAATTCATATGGACATATATGGTCAATATAGTATTTGCCAACACATTTATTTTTCCAGCTGGTATATATATGCGTGGGTTAGCCTAGTTTCGAACAACAAAAAAATATTTATCTTCTGGTGTCCGAGAAAAATTGAACTTTTAAAGATGAAGCTGGTTGTTCTCATGTCGTTCTTGCTTATGCTTCTATTGTGTTCTTCAGGTAATAAAATTTGTATATGCAGAATCTATTAAAACATTCAAGTACAGAAAAGATTACAGTTTACAGTTGTACATGTATGATGTAGGACATATTATAGATGTAAGAAAATTGTTATCTGATTTCGATAATGTTTTGTAAATATTTTATCAAGATCTAACCTGGTAGTATACTGTATAAATATTAATAAATAAATTATACATATATCTCATATCTGTTTTCAGGGTTTGAGGAGTACCATGGTGGAATCACTCATACCAACCAATATTCGTTAAATAAGGTAAGCAATCTTATTAAATAATATACTTACTTCTCATACTTTTTTTTATCCCAGATTATCGTTCATTAATAATAATTATTGATAGTCAATTTAAAACATCACCATATAATCACTGTTTTAAAAATTTGCCAAACAATAATCTTAGTTCCAAAAACTAAATTGCCAAACAAAAAGTAATTGTTGATGAGGCAAAATAATGTGTAATGTAGGCTGAAAAGACTAGTCCGGAGATGATGGATTATTCAGAACTAGGCGCAAACCCACGACACGATCCGAGAATACCCGGTTATACAAATCCTCCACCATCGCCGCAGAAGAGCTGATATTAATTAATGAGCAAAAATATGTAATATGAATACATTTGATCATTCCATATTTATAATTATGATATGTACTGTCAAACTAATAAAAACGCCCTATTGTGCTAAAGATGCCAAGATTTTTCAACTTAATAAGAAGCTCCCGATCTTTTCATTTTTCAAGATGATCATCTCAAGTGAGTTCAATTTTTAGATAAGTGCGGGGCTCAGCTCTGGTACAACTATTACGGTCCAGTTTGTTTCTTCTTCGTTGGATTCTACTATTAACCGATTTTGATTGGCCAGTATTGGCATAAAACATACTATATGTTAAAATTGTGAAATCCTACTGACTCTCATATATAACCGAACTTCCAGTTTTATGTTAGGTTTGGTCGCCATTCTTTGTCTTTGAATGCCTTGGTTTCCCTTGCCTGACCTTCGTGATAGTTTAGGTAGCTGAAAAAGAGCTCCAAACATGCAAGACCTATGCAAAATCCTAACTAATGCATCCTAGACCTACATGAATGAAACAAATCATAAACTTGGATCTAAATGCAATAATCCTAGCTGAACTATCATGAGAAGACAACGAAAATAATGCGAATATAAGAGATATCAAGGCTGTGTCTAAGAGCATCCTGAACTTTGGGAGGACTCCTCTGTAGAGTGTACTGAGCAAGCTTTCATTGCTGAAGCCATGCTATGGGCATTGGAGAGTGTAGCACTTAAACCTTTCCCATGCTTCAGAAAATGATTCATTGCTGTGTTGGGAGAAACTTGAGATGTTGTTTCTCAGCTTTGCAGTCCTTGCATTGGAGAAGAACTTGCTCAAAAACACCTTTTTTATAATCATTCCACGAACTAATTGATCCTTATGAAAGTGTTTTCTCCCATTGGTGGGCTTTATCTCCTAGACTGATATGAAACAGCCTTAACTTCAAGCCATCTTCACTCACTCCTTTGATCTTTGTCATGGAACAGATTTTATCAAACTGCTCCAAATGGTCCAAGGGATCCTCCATTGGTACTCCATTTAATCTGTTTACTTGCACCATGTTGATGAGCCCAAGCTTGATCTCAAAGTGGCTTTCCTGTACAGGAGGGACTAGGATGCTATTCTTGTTGATGTGAGTATTAGGAGCATCACCAGCTCCTATTTGCCTTGGAGCTCTAACACCATGCAATGGAGCTCTATCAAACTGTGGTTCTTGGACATTTTCTGCACCTCTAGTAGCTTGTGCAGCTGGTCCTTGTGCAAGATGAACTTCATAATGAACCTGATCAGCCATTGGGAATCCTTCTTGTGGCTGAATCGCTAACCTTTGTCTTCTTGCTCTCACGCCCCTATCAAGAGGATGGATGTTGTCTATTCTTGGAAAGAGATGTTGTGAGCCTTTGACCTTGAGTTTATGCAATGTGGTACCTGAAACAAGTGAAAGTAAACAAGATTAGTATTGAAATAAAAGCCTAGACTATGCAAGAAAGTAAACTCTTATAAGCAATCCCCAAGTAAGTCAACGGCGCCAGTTGACGCAAGACTTTTTATGCCTTATAGTGAAACTCAATTGCACTATGTATAATATATTGGCAATGACTAAATCAATCCATAAATGGAGAAGTCAATAAAGATGCAACAATCTTGAAGAGCTAGGCAAAAAGAGGGTTTAAAAACAGTTCACAATCAAGCAAGCAAGAATGTAAAGAAGTAACCAAGTAACTAGATTTTTCTAAGCAACAAAGAGCAATTCTAAGGATGAACAAAACAGAGCAAAACAGATCAAAATTCAAAATGTATTAAAAGGCTACGATCAAGGCTAAGGCAATATGATCTAGGTGGTTTAAATCATGACTAGGGTGCATAACAAACATTCAATGACTAATATCTAAGCAAAGAACACTAATTAAGACTAATACACTCTTTTGGCACTAATCCCTCTACTAATCATACTTCTAACCCACTTTCAACGGTGGAAATACAATCAATAAGCATTATACACAAGGTCCACAAAGCCTAATAAGCATCCGAGAACTGCTAAGCTTACTTATCTCTCATGCAATCGATCAAATACTAACTCACACTCCCATATATAATTAGTATTTAAAATCAGTTCCCATTCCCATAAGTACTAAAGCATTAAGAACAAGTGTGCAAGAAATGATGGATGATAAGAGTCATGACATTCAAAACACCATTTTCATGCAAAAAGCTTCATTCAAGCATTTCAACAAATATCTTCAATGCAAGTTAAACACGCCTAACATCTATTTTTCAATAAAGGTGGTACTAAGCATTAAACACAATCACATGAGAAGAGATTAACAAAGATCTAATAACCTAGCACCCTAATCAATCATTAAACCACCATAATCTACTCTAATCTTAAGCCTAAAAGAGACTACTCACTAATCATATTTAAATTCTCAAGATTAAGGTTAAACATGGTTAGATGAAGATAAAAGAACAAGAAGATGCAAAGAATTTAACAATACTTAAGAAAATAAAACCTCAAGATCAATGATCTTTTGGCAAATTCTTACAAAAGAAGGTTTTTGAGGCAAAAGCTTAAACAAGACAAGGATAAGATAAAAACTGGATAATGTGGCGATTTTGGACATAGGCTATTAGACCTAGTCAACTAAAAATAAGTATAGTCAACCGGTTAACAGAAGGTCAACGCGCCGAAAATTGCCGATATTGAGGAAGGTAAGTTCTTGTTCTCCTTGGTGCAGTTGGTCCGTCCGTTCTGAAGAAGCAGCGTCTAGAGTTTGGCTCGGGTGAAGACTCGATCATCGTCCGTACCATGGAAGACGTTAGGCAGCTCTCTTGCGTGCACTTCGTCGGTATGTCTTGAAGCTCTTTGTGCCAAGGAAGCTTCTCGGTGTACGGTTGAGTCTTAGCCGGTACAGGTACACCGTGTAGACTCACTGGTGTACGACTGCTTCTTCGTCTGTCTGAATTGCCTCCAAGGGGAATCGTCGGTGTACGGAAATGGTCCTGATCGGTGCAGATTGTACTGTGGAAGAACAGAGTTGTTCTCCACAGTACACTAGGCCGGTATGAGCACTTCCTTGCCTAGAATTGTTTCTCCTTGCTGAACCTCCTTCCTTTGCTTGGTACATCCTCTTGCCCAATAACTCCTTAGCTCCATAAGGTCCTGAAAACACTCTCAAAATGCAGGCAAAATACAATCCCAAGCTATGCATGAAAATGATGCAAATGAGACACTTTTGGACTTAAAAATATGAAATGTAATACAAAACCTATACTATATGACTCCTAATATGGTGTAATGATGCATGCTATCAGCGGACGGATCATCAAATGTGGGTGGGCAAAACCCTGGTTGGGTTCGTAATTATTAGAATTTCCTAAGGTTATAGTTGTATTTCATCTATTTTTTAATTAAAAATAGATCAAAACTAATTAATTATTAGAACAATGACATATGATATTACTTCTTCTCCATTTGTGGTATTTCAATCATTGATTCCTTTTTTGAATCACTCTTTCAAATGCCATTATTTCTGAAAAATTAGTTTCATATGTCATTGTTCTAATAAATAATTTTTTTTTTTATAATTAATACATAAACTGTTGAAATACAGTTCTAATCTTCAAGAAACTTTATAATTACAAACCCAAACACTTATATCCGAATTATCCAACAAAAAAATAACTTCAGCCCTTATTTTCTAAATTTACATATTTACTGTAAATCAGAGATTGATTCCTTTTCAATCAATATACAGTGAGCACAGTAACTCCGATTCGTCTTCTCCTTTTATCCTCCGCATTTTTTGTCCAATTCTTCTTCTCCTCCGCATTACTTCTCTGATTCGTCATCTCCTTCCTCCTCCTCCTTACATCTCAATTCTGATACTTCTCTTCCTCTCTTCGTTCATTTCTCTCAATCTTCTTCTTCTCTCTTCTTTGTCTTCTCTTCTCCAGATTTTATCCTCTATCATTTCCTCTCGGGAGTTTGATTTCTTCTCCTGGTAAGCAGAAATTGAAATGTTTTCTCCCCTTATTCGTTCAATTGTGAAATGTCTTATCTTCTTGTTCACTTGTGAAATATCTGTGTTTCTTCTCCTCTTGTTCAATTGGGATTCAATTGTGAATTGTACTAATGGAGTGATGTTGGTTTGAAATTGATTTTCAGATATGGTTAAAGTAAAACTCGGTAGGAGGGTATACGAAACAAGAAGAGGTCAACGAAAAGAAAAAAAAACAGAAGCCTTAGCAAGATAATCAGAAACCGTCAAACCCGCCAAAGTTGTTCCTCCCACAGAAGGTGCAACAGAAGCAGGAACCACTCCACTTCCTCCTGAAACCGACGCAGCGACGGCGGCTCCAGCAACCACAAAAGCAGGAACAATTGCTCCAGCAACCACATAAGCACCAATAAAAGCAGGAACCGCTCCAGTTTCTCCTGAAATCGACGCAGCAACAAAACCACATAAGGACCAATAGAAGCAGGAACCGAAGAAGTGGAGGAAGTTTCTCCTGAAACCGTAATGGTGCCTACTGATAATCGCGCACCTGTAGAAGCAGGAAATTTCGAATCTCCACAATCAGAAAAACACAAAATCCAGAATCTTAAAATCCCCAAACTCCAGAAGAGATGAACTTATATGGACCAATGATATTATAGCAAAAAGAACCATCAAATAAGGATAAGTCTACTCTCGAGCATGAGGTATTGTTTACATATACTTGAGATGTATTTTGGTTGACTTGAGATTGAGAATGAGATTGGAGAATGGATGAATATGTGTTAGCCATAGTGAGGATTATGGATGTGGAAAACTAGGAAAACTAAATAGTATATTGGCTAAGAATATAACACAAGGTTAAACTAGGTTCAAATACATTTTGATATGTTCATTTAATATTACTATGTTCCACTATGTTTGGTAAGTGCAACTAAGTATTAATACGGCCAAATGCGGCTGGTTGGTACAACTAAGTATCAATAGGTTTAACTTCATTTGATAGGTTCAACAAAGTATAAATAGGTTCAACTATGTACGTCTGAATGGGTTCAACTTCGTTTGCTAGGTTCAACTAAGTATTATTAGGTTCAATTGTTTAATAAAGCTGTGTTTGGATTTGCAGGTTAACGCAGATGAAACTACACCAATGCAACCAGAGAAGTTTTACTTCAGTCCAGATCAATAT